CAAGCATAAAAATCAAAACATCTACAATAGTGATAGTAATATTAATAATAAAATAATAGTCAAATTCTTTGGTGGGGGGCAGAGAGGGACCTGGATATGGGATGGGGGCGCTGGCCCGAAAAAGGCTGAGAAACTGATTTAGTTGGTAATGTTGCATGTTCTAAATTACTTGCAAAAACATTGACTGAAAGGACTCTTATTTAATGTTGAGGGACTTTTGCCTGTATGGCAAACCTTTAGGGCACAGACATTTTACATTTTGTTTTGAGTTGAAATGTACTGAAGTCTTAAGTTTGAGTGTTTAGCTAATTGTATTGTTAATTGTAATTGTTAATTGTATTGTTAGAAGCAATTGTATGCATTATTCAAAGACACTTTTTATTAAACTGTGGCAATAGCAACGGTTATAGTTCATTTCTATCACCACTATAAGTTTCAGGCTCAGGATTTTTTTTTACTTTAAGCCCTGCAGAAGGGAAAAACCTAAAACATGCAGGACAGGGGGGCGGTGAGGACCAGGGTTGAGAAACACTGGTTTAAGTGACGTTAGCCAAGCTAGCTAGCTAATGTTAGCAATGTGCCTCTGTAACAAAATGATTTGCCCTGCCCTCACATACAGAGATTTGGTGAATATTAGTGATAATGTTTAAGTTACCTACCTGTGTAGAGTAAATACTGTCTGTTTTATGGCATAGTTTGTACTTCCTGTCAGCTCTTTGCCTCCTCTGCACAAGTTAAGCTAACGTCACCTAATATAGTTAACATATTGAAGGAAGTAATCAAATGCAAATTGAGAGATTGAGGGAACAGGACTTGTGGTGACAACTTCTTCCTAAGTTTCATTTTTGCTTATGATAATCATAAGACAAGCCAGGATGATTTAATATTAAGTTCCATCAACTTTAGCTAGTGCTGCATAAAGCTTCTGACATTAAAGTTCTGGGCTGAAATAACTATATTTACTTCAGCTCTGAGATTTTTAATATTTAGGTGTTTTTATGAAAATGTTAATCTTTCAAATGAATTTGAGAAGCTCTTGGTCTTGTTTCACATTTTACTAAGTCATGTTGGTCCTGTTTCAGCCTCGATACACTCTGGTCTTGATCTCGACTTGGTCTTAGTTAGGTGGTCTTGACTATTATCCTAGTATGTAGTTCATCACATTAACCAGAGTGTCATCACAGATCAGCCAGCATATGGAACTTACTTCTCTGGGTTATCAACCTCCTCTGTCACAAAGTTGAGATAAAACCTGGAAAAACACAGAGAAGAAACAGCTTTAAAGGAGAATACAAGCAGCAACAGACACAAGATCCAAGTACTTCCTGTACTGATATGAAATAATGACTCACACAATTCAAATATTTATTTCATAAATCATATGTTTATGTTGATAATTTAAATGGAAATTAAGCATTAATTATGCCATTTAAAAATGATATGTTCCAGGGCCATATCTATACATGACTGTTATTCTGGTTTAATTTTCTGCTACGTCTGTTCATAGACCTGAAATAAATCTTAAGATAAAATATTTAAACCACATTGATGTCAAGAGTGTTAGTCATTTTAATTACATGATATAATTCTACACAAATTGCTGAAAAATGGAAAGGAGCACAAACTAAAGCGTGTAAATATGCAAAATTACAAGAAGTCACTAACAAAATCTGTGATTCTCAGTCTGAGAGCAAACAGTAAATATGAAGAAATTTGTCTTGTTCTGGAAGCAGAAAACAACATGTAGTTTAATCTAACATGTCATTAGAACATGGGAGTGTACAGGCTGTTCCAGTACAACAAGATGCCTTCTGGAAATCATGTTAATGTTTAAACAGTGTTAAAAGCTAATTTATAAAAGCCAAATGGAAACTGTTCAGCATGAATTATAATTCTTACCCAGAACTGCCCACACATCACTGCTCTGGCACTTATAACAAGATCGATCCGTCCGACCCTGAACACCATTTAATTATTATTGCCAATCTTGGCTGTTAATAAAAGTCTATTAGATGTCAACTATTTTGGCAGAACTGCTAAAGATGCGTAAAACCTTCAAATAAATTCACAAATAAACTCACCTAATCACACACCCGGAAATTCAGAAAAAATGAGGACACATTTTCTTGTCAAATACATGTTTTTAACAGAATGAATGGTGGTAAAAATTAAATTTATTTATTTATTTTTTATTTATTACATTATTAGGTTTATCAGATTGTTAGGGAGCAACAGTATAGAAGGGTCTGTGGGGGTCACCACATCTCCATAGCAACCATTAGATACAATCTACATGCTAATCATGTATAAAAATAAAAAAACAAATCTTTTTGTCCTACCATTACAAAAGTAAGCGAGTGGAGTTCACCTGCTGGGACTTTACCTGAAGTGGTGTGTGTTGAGGAGGTCAGATGAAGTTTGAACTGTTCAGCCTCACTTTCAGATGAGCTTAGAGTAAAACGGAGGATGAACATGTGCTGTTGATGTGACTCTGGTCCAACCTAGCTGAACCGCCTCCTCAGTCTGTAAGCTAATTGTTCAAAACCTTGCTAATGACCAAGATATTTGACTCAACTGTGTAGTGTTGAAACATCTAAAAGGCACTCATAATGCCAGAAGGGGGTTGTTCGATGTAATACTCAAATTGTCCATAAGTGTGGCACCAGAAAATTAGTTATAAAATAACATCTATCTACATGGGCCTTGTAAAACCTCGGGTGTTTAGTAAATGTCAAACTAACTTTGGTTTGTTTCCCTCCTAGGTTTGGTTCCTTTGTGTGAACACAGCAACAGCAACCTGGTGCAGACTAAACTAACCGTATTGGGACCTTTTGGAGGAGGTGGTCTCAGTGTGGTTCCACCGTAGAGCAGGACATTTGCTCTGTGAACGTGAGCCGACCTTGATCCGACTCAGCAACCAGCTTTAGCCAACCGCCTTCCCTTAGCAGGTTTTCATTGCAATGTGAGATGTGGCTGAGAAACTAAGCTAATAAACAATGGACATCTTTTCCATAAAGCATAAAGCCTCATGCAACTTTCAAGACATCTCAACATAATTTTTTTCAGATAATTTTGCCTGATATGGTCAAAATTAATGAGATGATTAAATTCTGTGTCCCCTCAGCTCAGAGTGCAGAATCTGCTTCCTGTATTTACATTTGGTTCTCTCCCCATATCTGACCAGTAATCAGACTGAACGTTGTTAAGTGGTTAGCAGCGAAAGGTTAGGGTTTGTTGGAGTTTTTTATGCGTGAAAAGAAACTAATCCAACAGAAGAGCAGCAAGTTAACAAACTCGTCAACGGATTTAGATCAGAGTAAATGAACAATAGGTGTGAAAACACCCCATATTTACTGTATGGTTATACAGTACATAGAGAGAGAATGAAAGAATGTTCCCTATATGTTCTTCAATGTTTTCCATGGGAAATTTTTTTATTCTCATAAAGGTTAAATTCATTTGAAGGCTTTTAACACATCTACACCAGTCGTGCTAAAAATTCTGGCTGCCACTCTAGATGAGTGTCTGTTGAGCATCTGTTCACTGGAGGTCTAGTCACTCCAGTCGTATTAATAATTCTTTAATGTTAGGCAAAAATCTAACAATTCCAAATTTTACCTGCTGATTGATAGGATTTAAAATTGCCGTCTGCTATTGAGAAAACATTGATCGTCTGTCTTTGTTTTGTGAATTTTGCCCAAATGTGTCGGCCTCTGTTTGTGTGGACCATACCTACCAACCAGCATATGCATACATCCCAGAGTAGAAAGCCAGGGGCATTCCAGACAGCTGCACCTTGCTCAAATCAAAGGCATTCTCAAAGTTTTTGGTCTCACCTGTACACACACAAAGACACACACACACATATATTCTAAAAGGACATGCATTACCTACTTTAGGTGTTCTAAAACACCTTCATTGTTTTAAAGTGAAGAGTGAGTGCTATAGTCACATAATATGTGTATACAGTTGAAACCAGAAGTTTACGTACACCAAATTAAAAATCACACACATTTTTTCTCACTGTCTGAAGATAAATAAGACTAAATTCTTTAGTTTTCAGTCAGATAAAATGACAAAAATTATGACTATTAACTAAATGCCAGAAAACGGAAAAGACTTTTTAGAATTTTTTGTAACTTTCTTCAAAATCAAAAATGTACATACATTTAGCATTGCGTGACTTGGGTCAATCGTTTTTGGTTTCCTTCCACAAGCTTCTCAGAATAGTTTGCTGGAGTTCTGGTCCGTTCGTCCTGACAGAACTGGTGGAACTGAGTCATGTCTGCAGGCCTCCTCGCTCACACACACATTTCAGATCTACTCACAACTTCTCCATAGGACTGAGGTCAGGGCTTTGTGATGGCCACACCAAAACACTGAGTGTGTTTTCTATGAGTCACTCTGTAACCACTGTGGCTGAATGCTATTGTCTATTTTATGAAGTGCACCAGTTCCTCCTGCAGCAAAACAGTCCCACAACATGATGCTGCCACCACCGTACTCCACACTTAGGATGGCACAACCGTCCCCATGTTTGCTCCAAATTTTTGACCAACTGAAGGTCATTATGTCCAAACAGTTCCACTTCATTTTTATCAAACCACATTACATGTTTCCCATGGTCAGGGTGTCCTTTCAGCTCATGTCGGTACTGGACAGTTTCACTATGGATAATGACTCTGTCTTACCAGCTTCAGCTGCATCTTCACCAGGTCTCTGCCTTTTGTTCTGGAGACAACCCAGTTTGAATCAGAACCCGTCTCCTTCCTGAGCGCTATGATAGCTGGACATTCCCATCATGTAATTGTTTGAACAGATGACTGCAGCATCTTCAAGCATCGGTACATTGTTCCTCAGGATGACCCAGACTGGATCTGCTCTATTATTCTCCTTCCTAACATCTTAGCTAATTTATGCTGACTTTCCCATCATGTCAGACAATGAGGTTGTGTGTTCCTGATGAGCCTCCAGTTAACTCAAATGTGACAGTTAACCTATCAGAGGTTTATTGAAGGAAACTCAAAAGGTTTTACTCAAGTCATACAATTTAAAGACAGTTTTTCCTCATACTAACAAAATGAATATAAACTTTTGAATTCAAAGACAGAAAAAGAAAATTCTTAAAAAAAAATTCTCACCAAGTTTTCTGGGATTTAGCAAATAGAAATCATTTTGATCATTCTGACTGACCTAAAACATGAGAGGTTTGTGTCTTTTTATTCAGTGTATGTAAACTTCTGGTTTGAACTGTATCTGCAGTTGCACACAAGAACAGGAGCATCCTATTTATTAACAACAATAATAAAATCAGCCATAAAGTGAATGAGTGGAGGAACTATTTTTCTCATTTAGATTGGAGAGAAAGAGTTCTGCCAACAAAGGTTGAAAAATATCCCTCAAGTGGGATCAACGTTAAGCTGTGAATGAGCAAATGCTGCCCACAATATAATTCATCTACATTGTTTAACTGTATTGCTAAGAATAATAAAGTCTGTGTATTGATAAGTAGGAGAGAACAAAGTAATGTGAAATCTACCAGCTGTAGTAGGTACTCTACAGAACAAGCCAAGCTAACCCTGTTAGTTTATTTTTCATTAGTTTGTTACCTATGAGGTGAGCTTCATAGTAACTTCATTTAATAGATGGTTTTCCACAGTGACTGACATTACACCAAACACAACATATACAGCTTTTATTACTTGAGTTCAAACATTCAGAATTATGAAGTTAAAATGGTTTCATTAAACTGTGTTCATTCCAGGCTAAAATCTGATTCTCTAGTAGTAAGTCACAGTGCCGCAGGTTTAACAGATACACTCTGGTATTTAAAGGAGTAATTAATCAACTTAAATTAATTAATTTATTTTGATTAATAACTTGTTCACAGTTGGATAGTGTGCTGTGATAAATAGCTAAAACTCCAAGGAGGGCTGCTACTCTCTAATTGGAAGGCCAGGAAATTCTAGCTAATGGGGAAATAAATCAGATGGTTTTGTTTATGAATTCTATCAAATCTAATATGATCATTAGCCGAGTTTAGGTATTAGCTTTTTGTGTCATAATAGTACAGAGGAACTAAATTCCTGCTGCACATCTGATCTTCCATGTTTTGGAAGGATGTTATTTATGTGCTCTTATCCTTCTCATATGTTCAGGCCATAGGACACTTTCCTCTCAAAGGTACTCCATGACCCTGGATTTGAGCAGTGCCAGAAATACTTGGTGAAAATCATGCAGTGACTGCTGCAACACAAAGACTCTCCTGTTTTTCCAACCACTAATGCTGGTTGACGGGGGCATCTACCTAAATACCAAGGTTGTTTTTTTGTTGTGTACTTGCTACTTGCTTAAGAAAGTTTCTTTAAAAACAGAGAAAACAGATCTGCTGCGTAAACCATCTTCACCTACAAATAAGAGCATGAATGTAAACAACTAAGAATTTTCAACAGTTGATTACCAAATCTTCAACACAGATGTCAAACTTTATGTAACTAAAGTTTACAAAATATTGAAGTAAATCAGAGCTTTAGAATTTATCCCACACAATTAATTTAGGGGAAGCTAAGAGTGTTTATCAGAGTTAGCAAAAAACACAGTTTATGGTAATCATGTCAGTTAAATATAAATTTGTATTTAATCCTCCAACAGATAGCATTCATTTATGTTACTTAGTACAGTTATGTGACATTTTTGTAGGTTCTTATGTGAAATAACCAACATTTTCAATCCACTTAACAATTCTTAACAAGAATTGGATGATGCATTACTCCTGGCCAGAAGCACAATCCCTAAGATTAATAAAGTGAGGTCATTTAGTTGAGTCAGTCAGAATTTATGTAAAAGTTCTTGTTTTTTTTTTCTTTTAACTGTGAAAACAAAGCAACTTTGTGTCATATCCTGTGAATGATTATATTAATCATTTAGAGTAAATAATAACCATATTTAAAATGGAGGTCAAAAACTGGGAGAGAGCAGCAGCTCCTCTGAACACCTGCTTCCAGGACATTGTGAAATGTTGTGCTTGATGCTTGATGCTTGCTGCGTACAGCTGTGCGTCACAGCCTGCGAGTCTCTAAGCTTGTATTTACAGTGCATGCTTGAGCGTGATACTAAGGAAGCTTTGATGATTGTTGCGGCTGAGCGCTCAGTGTGAGCCCTGAAGGGTTTTTCAACAACACTTAATGGAAGCAGATGGCGTACTGCAAGTGTTCCGCACTCAAAAAATAACTTATTCAATTTACTTAATACAGTTATGTCAACAATTTCTACAAACTGACTTATGTTCAGTATATAAATAAAACCTAACTGTATTTAGTAAAGCCAATCAAAAATACTTTGCAGCTCCTACTTAATGACTTTTAGTTAGAGTGGTAATCATTGAATTTTGCTTTACTAAGCTAGTTTTAATTTTCTATAACAGTTGTAGTTTTAGTTTGACTTACTAAAAGATAAACAATTTCCACAGTAAGTAAACTTTTGTCATGTTGAACAAACATTCATTACCAATAAAACATCCATCCATCGTCATACACGCTTATCCCTACTGTCATGAGGGGTTGCAGCTGCCTATCTCCAGCAGTCAACGGGTGAGAGGCAGGGTCACACTGGACGGGTCAACAGTCCATCACAGGGCAACACAGAGACAAACAGTCATTGACACACACACACTCAATCACACCTAAGGAGAATTTAGAGAGACCAATCAACCTGACAGTCATATTTTTGGACTGTGGGAGGAGAGAACCCACCATGCACAGGGAGAACATGCAAACTCCACACAGAGTTTGCATGTCAAATCCAGCCAGGATTTAGATTCAAATCCAGCCAGGATTTGAATCTAGTACCTTCTTGCTTCAAGGCAACAGTCGCGTTTTTTTAAGACGGGAAAATTTAAAGCCTGTCGGTCATTTGACAGGTTAAAATTAACACCCTTGACTGGTGCACATGAGCAGACATGACAGACTTTACGCAAAGAGTTCATCACAGAGGCAACTAAAATCAATCAGGGGCGGATCTACTGGGGTGGCATGGGGTGGCAGTTGCCACCCCAAACGAGAGCCTTGCCACCTCTGTTGCCACCCCAACTAGCGACAATGAATTCAATAAATAGTTATGGCAAATCGGACATTAAGCGCATGAAACTCTTTTTTTCCGACAACATT